CGAGGCTGGGTCCTGTGGTCTCTCTACCCACCAACAGTTAACATATTCATCTTCTGTTTGTTTCACAAAAAACATGCTTCTGTGCCTGGTCCATGCTGTTGCTCAGCTGGAACATTCACACCTCACTTCTGCACGAAACTGACCCGCTGCTGGTCCTTCTAGACTTGGCTTGTATTGGCCTGCTTGGAAGTCTTTCCTGATCCCCCTCATCTGCAGTCTCAGCTCAGTGCTCTCTTCAGAACTTCTCCTCTAGTGTTCGCCCAATTCAGTTTTGTATCTTCCTATTATGTTAACTGCTGTACTCTGTTACTATCTTTTTTTTTTTTTTTGAGACAGAGTCTCACTCTGTCACCAGACCGGAGTGCAGCGGCGTGATCTCAGCTCACTGCAACCTCCACCTCCCAGGTGCAAGCTATTCTCCTGACTCAGCCTCCTGAGTAGCTGGGATAACAGGCACGCACCACCACGCCCTGCTAATTTTTGTATTTTTAGTAGTTTCACCATGTCGGCCAGGATGGTCTTCATTTCCTGACCTCGTGATCCACCCACCTCAGCCTCCCAAAGTGCTGGGATTGCAAGCATGAGCCACCTCGCCCGGCCTACTATCTTTTTAAAAAATTAAATCACACAGGGTGGGGAACATCACACACTGGGGTCTGTTGTGGGGGGAATAGGGGAGGGATAGCAGGGGGTAGGGAGACTGGGGAAGGATAACATGGGGAGAAATACCAGATATAGGTGACGGGGGGATGGAGGCAGCAAACTACATTGCCATGTAGGTAACTATGCAACAATCCTGCATGTTCTGCGCATGTACCCCAGAACCTAAAGTACAATAAAATATATATTTAAAAATATTAAATCATATTCTCATGTTAGATGGTTTGTTCAGGAGCTGACCTACCCATCATATTTATCTCTGTATCCCCAGGACCTGGTGTCATACTTGGCTTATAGCAGATGTGGTGGTTAATATTGAGTGTCAGCTTGATTGGACTGAGGGATAAAAAGTATTAATCCTCGGTGTGTCTGTTTGGGTGTTGCCAAAAGAGATTAACATTTGAGTCGGTGGGCTGGGGAAGGCAGATATACCCTTAATCTGGTGGGCACAATCTAATCAGCTTTTAGCGAATATAAAGCAGGCAGAAAAACGTGAAAAGAAGAGATGGGTCTAACCTCCCAGCCTACCTCTTTTTCCTGTGCTGGATGCTTCCTGCCTTTGAACGTTGGACTCCAAGTTCTTCAGCTTTGGGATTCAGACTGACGCTCCTTGCTCCTCAGCTTGCAGACAGCCTATTGTGGGACGTTGTGATTGTGTAAATTAATAATCCCATATATATCCTATTAGTTCTGTCTCTCTAAGAGAACCCTGATTAATACAGCAGGCATTTCATTCATTCAAAAATATTCACTGGGCATCTCCTGTGTGCCAGGTACAGTGTGGGGTGCTGCAGGTAAACAGCATATAGTGATTGTTAAATGCACAGTCTCTGATATAGTTTGGATATTTGTCCCCTCCAAACACCATATCAAAATATGATGCCCAATCATATTTTGGAGGTGGAGCCTGGTAGGAGGCTTATCAGACTGGCAATTCTCAAACTCTATACCAGAGAAATCAGGGGAACTTGTTAAAAATACAGATCATAAGGCCCTCACCCCAGACTTAAATAAAAATTTGGGGGACTGGAGTACATGAGTTTGAATTAAATTACAAGTGCCCCGGATGATTCTGATGTTTGGGATTCACTACTTAGAAAAGAAATCCCCATGCCTAAATCTCACCCCTTAAATGCTGATGGACTTGATCTGAGCTGTGTGATCTCTCATGTGCAACTAAGGTCGAGAACCACTAACATAAAATAGTGCACATTAGAATTACCAGGAAGCTTTAATAACATGTCAAACACCTGCACCCAAACCCTAAAGATTCTAATTTAATTGGTTTAGGATTCAGGTACTGATATTTTTCAAAAGCTCACAAGGTAATTCTGAAATTCAGCAAAGGTTGAGAACCACCAATTCAGACTAAGTGACTTGCCCAACATCCCAGGGTGCCTCAGACTTAACTGCCTTCTTTACACAGGGGTTGTGAATGAAATGTGGCTACGGAAAGTGATTGTCGACTAATGTGTTATAAAGTATGGTGCTGCTGCTGATGATAATGATGATGATGACAATGATGAAGCTGTTTCTTGAGTGCTTCCTATGTACCAGGCACTATGCTAAGCATTTTATGAGCTTAATCTCATTGAATCTTCAACATTAGCCTGCTGGTATTGTTTTCCCTTTTCCGTGATTATAGTATGTCATCAGTTGAGGACTATCAACTTAATAATCAACTTAGAGGCTGTTGATAGTTAATAGGAAAATATTTCTTCAGTCCTCTAGAGACAAAGATTTGCTTTTGTTGGAATAAATGTAAATTTTGATTTATTTGATATGAAATGCAAATAAACGTGTGATGCTATCAATGCAAATCACTCATCTCATATGATATCAAATAAACAGATATCTTCTAGGTAACCCTCCAAGTTCACCTACATTCACGAATGTCACTCATGTCTCACACTGGGTTATCCACACTGGGCCTGGAAGCTGGCAAATTTATTTAGACACATTCCATTTCAGGAATAATAAAATGCAGGAAAATGTGTATCTTTGAGTCACAGAATCATGGTATTATTCCTATTTTCAGGTGAGGCTTTAAAAGATTAAGTGACTTGCCAATGAGTCCCAGGGTTCATTCTATGGCCAAGCCAGAAATAACAAACCAGTGCCCCTGATGCTGGAGTTCTCCAGAAGCTCCTCTACTGACATGTTTTCCACTGACAGACTTCCTTGACAAGAACAGAGTAGTCTGTCAGAACAAAATTTTGCCAGCTCTGTCTGCTGCCAGCACTTGGATATAGGAGTCCCATGGGGCTTACAAATAAATGAAAGCGGTGGTGGGCTTGCAAGACCTCATCAGTCCTTAGAGTACAGTTGATATGTCTCTCAATGCAATGCAGGAACTAACTTTAAAGCATTTTGAAACATGCACAATAACGGAAAATTCTGAGTTCAACAAGAAACAAATGCTTATCTTTAAAAAAAAAAAGTCAAGTCAATTAAGAAATGAAAATAGGTTGAGAAGAATAAGAACAGAATGATGGACTGGAGAAGTTTTTAGCCTTGAACAGGCCATTACCAAATGGTCAGTATGATCACATTATCTGATATTATTTGGTTCTTTTCTTTCTTTTAAAAGTACTATTTAGTTATAAGAATATTAAATGCTGGCTGGGCACAGTGGCTCATGCCTGTAATCCCAGCTCTTTGGGAGACTGAGGCTGAAGGATTGCTTGAGCTCGGGAGTTTGAGACCACGCTGAGCAACATGGTGAGACCTAATCTCTACGAAAAGTATATATAAAAAAAAAATAGCTGGACATGGTGGTGTGTGCCTGTAGTCCCAGCTACTTGGGAGGCTGAGACAGGAGGACCACTTGAGCCTGGGAGATGGAGGCTGTGGTGAACTATGATCTTGCCAAGATTGTGTCTCAAAAAAATAAAAAACAGAAATTTTTCTTAAAAAGCAACAAAGAAAATTTGGACATTAAGAGAATAAACATTCCCATTAATTCCATCTCGACTCTCCTAAGAGATCATCAGTTTAGTGCCTGCTTTTCCAAAAATATGTCTAAAAATGATTTCTTTCTTAAAGAGAAAGTATATATATATATATAGTCTTAACTTTCCTTTTTCTTTCTAGCTATATACACATAGTGAACATCTTACATATTTTTAAGCAGTGGTAAATTAAACAATCCACTACAAACACTTTAGATTTCTTTCGTAGCTCCCAATGTTTGTTTGGCACAAACATGGATAGAAATGTCTTTAAATACAGCTTTATTGTCCCAGCTTTAGTAAAACTCTATTTATAAATCAAATCCAAAGTAACAAGAGACATTGGCATAATCTTTGGTCTTCTCTGCTGATACAGGGAAATCCCAATTTGTGGTTTCCAACACTTGTAAGGTGGTAAATAGCAACCTCCTTCCACTGTTCCTCCCACCTCAAGTCAGCAGGGTGCTGGTAAACTGGCTTGGGTGGGAGTGAAGAGAAGCCCTGGTGTGTCATGTTTACTGATTCCCATCAGGTAAATGCTCCCACCGCGGCCAGTTTCAAGTATTAACAGTTCAACGACTGGCTCACAAAATTTCCTAGTATTTAACAATTGGCTTTGAACCGTTCTAAAACATCAGTGTCAGGTCATTCAATGACCAATTATGGCACATATATGAGGCTTTTATCTTGATATAACACTCTTGCATGCTGATTTCATACATGTAGTCACTGTACCTAAGAGAAACGTATAATGGAACAAATGACCCAAAGCCAAAAAATATGGAAAAAAGTGAATTAGAGAACATCCCTCTCATATTTCTTTATATATGAGAGGAATTTCTATCATATAACCTCCAAGAATGATGACATTCTTCTGTAGACATATAGGTATCAAAATTATGCTAAAATTTTTTCTTTTCCTAAATAAAAATAGTCCACAAGTCTGGTTTTATGTTATATTAACATTCATTAGGTATTCTTTGCAATTTTCCCTTTTGCAGCTGTTAAATCGCTTATGCCTTCAATATTTTTTCCTGCATAATGATTTTTTATGGAAGCTAATACAGTAAGCATTTTAAAGTATTACCAGTTTTGACACTGAAATAATGAGACTTTAAAATCCAACCATGTATCTGGAAGTTTAAGAACACCATTCATTTATTTCTCAGGAGACCACACACTCACGCTAATGAGGATGCCATTGCTTAAAATATTTTGGAAATTCTCTTTAGGAATTGCTTTTGGTACAAGATTATGCAGTACGGATGAAAATTAGTTTCACTGCTCTTATAGTGGTGCTTCATATTTTACTAAATAGAAGTATAAAATACAACCTCTGATAAAGGGTAAAGAGCATTGAATTTTGTTTTTTGTTTTGTTTTGTTTTTGTTTTTGAGTCCGATCTTACTTATTTGTTACTCAAATAATCTTATTTCTGACTGGATTCAGACTTAGAAGCTCGCGGAGAAGAAAGTCTGCGTCTCTTCGCAATTTGTTCTTGGCACTTCTCTTTAGCTTCCTTCATTCTCTTGGCCAAAGTTCAGCATATCCTGCAGCCTCTTCCTTATTTTTCTTAGTATGCTGCTTTTTCAGAGCAGTACACTGCCGTTTGTGCTGCAGGACGTGAAGAGTAACAAGACACTGAATCTTGGGCGCTTTGGTCCTAGGTTTCTTACCTTCTTTGTTTAAGGGCTTTCTTGTGACATACCAGCGGACATCAACTTCTTTAGAGAGATTGAGAAGTTTGCGGATTCTGCTAGCTCTTTTGGGTGCCAGGCGGTGAGGCATTGTAGTATCAGTCAGTCCAGGAATATCCTTCTCTCCTTTTTTTACAATAACCAAGTTGAGAACACTCAGATTGGCATCCATAATGCAACCACGAACTGATTTTCTCTTTTCTCCAGTCTCTACCAAACACCTAAGCTAGATGGTATAGACTATTGTTTCTGGGCTACAAATGTGTACAGCATGTTCCAAATACTAAAGCCAATTGTAGCACAATAATAAGTGTTTGTGTATCTAAACATATCTCAATATAGAAAAGGTAGTGTATGGCGAAACCCTGTCTCTTCCAAATATACAAAAAAATTAGCAGGGCATGGTGATGGGTGCCTGTAGTCCCACCTACTTGGGAGGCTGAGGCAGGAGAATCACTTGAACCAGGGATGCAGAGGTTGCAGTGAGCTAAGATCACGCCACTGCACTCCAGCCTGGTGACAGAGCAAGACTCTGTCTCAAAACAAAAACAAAAACAAAACAAAAAAACCAAAAAGGTATAGTAAAAATACATATAATTAATTTAAAAGCGGTACATCTATATAGGGCACTTATCATGAATGGAGCCTGCAGGACTGGAAGTTTCTCTGGGTGAGTCAGTGAGTGGGTGGTGAGTCACTGTGAAGGCCTAGGACGTGACTGTACACTATGGTAGACTAAACTGTATACTTATGCTACATTAAATTTAATTTTTAAATTTTCTTTTTTCAATAATAAATTAGCTTTCTATAGTTTTTTACTTTATAAATATTTATTTTTATTAACTTTCTGACTCTTTTGTAATCACACAGCTTAAAACACAAACACATTGTACAGCTGTACAAAAATATTTTCTTTATATCCTTATTCTGTGATATGGTCAGGCTTCATGTCCCCACCCAAATCTCATCTTGAATTGTAATAATCCCCACGTGTCAAGGGAGGGGCCAGGTGGAGATAACTGAATCATGGGAGCAGTTTTCCCCATACTATTCTCATGGTAGTGAAGAAGTCTCACAGGACCTGATGGTTTTATAAATGGGAGTTCCTGTTCCCAAGCTCTCTTGCCACCACCATGTAAGGCATGACTTTGCTCCTCATTCACCTTCTGCCATGATTGTGAGGCCTCCCCAGCCATGTGGAACTGTGAGTCAATTAAACGTCTTTCTTTTATAAACTACTCAGTCTCAGGAATGTCTTTATTAGCACTGTGAGAACAGACTAATACATTCTGTAAGCTTTTTTTCTATTTTTAATGTTTTTTATTTTATATTAGCACTGTGAGAACAGACTAATACATTCTGTAAGCTTTTTTTTTTTTCTATTTTTATTTTTATTTTTATTTTTATTTTTTTTTGAGACGGAGTTTCACTCATGCTACCCAGGCTGGAGTGCAATGGCGCAATCTCGGCTCACCGCAACCTCCGCCTCCTGGGTTCAGGCAATTCTCCTGCCTCAGCCTCCTGAGTAGCTGGGATTACAGGCATGCACCACCATGCCCAGCTAATTTTTGTATTTTTAGTAGAGACGGGGTTTCACCATGTTGACCAGGATGGTCTCGATCTCTTGACCTCGTGATCCACCCGCCTCGGCCTCCCAAAGTGCTGGGATTACAGGCTTGAGCCACCGCGCCCGGCCCCTATTTTTAATGTTTGTTATTTTATTTGCCTTTTAAAACTAAGACACAAACACACACATTAGCCTACCAGGGTCAGGATCATCAACATCACTGTTTTCCACCTTCCACATCTTGACTCACTGGAAGGTCTTCAGAGGCATTAACACGCATGGAGCTGCTATTTCCTGTGATAGCAATGCCTTCTTCTGAATACCTCCTGAAGGATCTGCCTGAGGCTTACAGTTCTAAAAAAAATAATAATAAGTAGAAGGAGTACACTTTAAAATAATGATGAAAAGTATAGGATTGTAAATACTAGGTGATAAGAATTTTTCACCTCTATTATAATCTTATGGGACCACAGTCACATATGTGATTTATCATTGACTGAAATGTCATTGTGTAGTGCATGACTGTACCTACTCCAGGAGTTGTCCTGAAGATTAAATAATACAAAGCATTGTGATAACACCTTGTGAGATGAAACACACTATCCAAATGAAAGTCATCATTGGTCCAGCTTGATTAGAATTGAATGGGCTTGGTTATTTCTAAAATTCATATGTATTCCCTGAAAGCATAAATGTTCCATCATCGAAAAAGGTGTTTGTAGTGTAAAAAGAAATATGTTCGGTCTTTGTCCCAGTTACTGGGTCAGAGCTCCTAAAGCCCTTGGTATTTTCTCAATGACAGGAGTGTCTTTGGTTCTTTGCAAGGAGCCCCTTTTGATCATGCCTGAGTTTATGCTAATGAGGTGATTTAGATAGTGTCAGAATGGGGCCAGTCACCAGAAGGATTATAGAAAGCTGGGACTTTCAGCCCAATTCACCTACCTCTCGGGAGGAGATAAGGATTGGAATTTAAGCTGTTAAAAACCTTTGAACAACAAGATTTGGTAAATTTCCAGGTGGGTGAACACATGGAGGTGTTGGGAGGGTGGGCACCTGGAGAAGGCATGGAAGTTCTGCCCTCCTCACCTTGACCCCCATACTTCGCCCTGTGAATCTCTTCCATCTGGCTGTTCCTGAGCTATGCCCTGTATAGTAAACTAATAAATGTAAGCAAAGCGTTTCCCTGAGTTCTGAACTACTCTAGCAAATTATGAAACCTGTGGGGAGAGGGGGGTCTTAGAAACCCTCACTTTATAGATGATTGGTGAGAAGTAAGGCAAGCCCGGACTTCCATCTGGCATCTGAAGTAGGGGCAGTCTGTGGGACTGAGCCTTTTCACTCGTGGGATCTGAGGCTACCCAACCAGTAGGTAGTATCAGGAATGAATTAAACTGTAGGACCCCACTCGCTCCCCTTCCCCACCCCACCCCACCCCCATGTCTGGAGAATTGCTTGGTGTGGGGAACCCTCCATGCCCCACATTTGGTGCTAGAAATATTGTGTGAGTCTAGATACTGGTATTTTTTTCAGAGTATTCAAAAAATTTGGAAGACACTTACAGGGATCCCTCAGGTCAGTTTGTTGAACTCAAATGAGGACTCAGGGCTCATGGGCCCTAGATTGTTTTGAGATCTGAGATCCAGAGGAAGGAGAGCCTGTGCTAAAGGCCTCCTCACTCTCCAGGTCCTTAGTGTTCTCTTTCTTCCTGATTCTGCTTCCCACCCACTCCATTGGATGAAAGCAGTATGGCTGCATGCAGGGCATTTCTTCTTTCTTTCTTTCTTTTTTTTTTTTTAAAGACAGGGTTTCACCATGTTGGTCAGGCTGGTCTTGAACTCCCGACCTCAGGTGATCCGCCTGCCTTGGCCTCCAAAGTGCTTGGATTACAGGCGTGAGCCACCACGCCCGGCCTGCAGGGCATTTCTGATCATAAAATTTGAAAGGATCCTGGCTGGGCTTTTGACAAGAACATCTTCATCTGTCTCTCACACCAGCAGCCTGGGCTAGCCAGTTCTCCTCCTTTTGAATGCCTGACTCAGTACTGCTGCTATTCTTGCCATTTTAAGATGGCTTTGACCGAAGGGGCAGGACCACAAATTCCACAGTAGAGCACAGGGCATGAAGAGGTTGTTCTGTCATAGGCTGAGGCTATGAGGGAGAAATTCACCCCAGGCCCAGCAGATCCCAACTACCCCACCCCTAATCAAATAGGTCATATGAATGAAACATTTTGCCGATTATCTAAAGTTTCTTGCTGTGAAACTAGCCCTCTGCAGTCTGCTGGAGCAATTACTGAAGTCTTTCATCTGCAATGCTCCTTTCAGATCTAAAAGTATTCTCTCTTTCACTTTTCATGTTAATCAAAACAATAAATAGCAACCACTTCGGTATCCCAACAATGATGGCATTACATATGGTTTACAAAACAGAACAACAGAAAATCTATATCATTTTACTGCATGCTATATATTTTTTTCATTGTAGATTTAAGAGTGTGCTTTGTTTATAAGAAAATAAGTAAGGAAAACGGCTTCACATTCTGAGGGGAAAAGAAATCCTCTCATATATGGCTGTAAAATTTTCATTCATGGTGAGGAGTTGTCTGTATCACAACATCTTAATCGATGTTTTACTGTGAGCTCTCCCTCTCTATTGTATTGTCTGATAGTTTAGGGTTTTGCAGTTAGTACAAGTAAAATATGAACTGTCTAAACAAAAAAGCAAACACAGGCCTGGCACAATGGTTCACACCTGTAATCCCAGCTACTCAGGAGGCTAAGGCATGAGAATCACTTGAACCCAGGAGGCAGAGGTTGGAGTGAGCTAAGATCGTGCCACTGCACTCCAGACTGTGCGACAGACCAAGACTCTGTCACAAAAACAACAAATGAACCAACAAACCCCACAAACCTAACAATATTTGAAAAGACACAACAGTTTCAGTGATAAATTAAACACAAAAAAACATACTAGCCCATGATTTGGTTATCCTTGATTAGACCCCCTGTAGATTATAAATATTTAAAAACAAATTCTCAGTTGTTAAAAGAAATTCCTTAAGATGGGGAATTTTAATGAGCTACTTCTATTGGTGTTCTTCAACCATCAATTTAGAAGCTAAGTATTTGATGTTTCAAGGTAAATTAGATATTGGAGCAGCAGACCAAATATTCAGTTGTTCTCAACTACCAGTAAACAATACCTCAAACCTGTTTTATGAAGCTTTCAGTTATGTTTTTTTCTTACCTGCTGTTGCTGCCTGTAGGCATTCTCAAAACATACGTCATGGCTCCTGGTCATTAGTTCCATTAATTATTAGTTTCTCAAATTCAAGCACAACCTCCAAGGTCTTAGTGTTAATATTAAATTACTTAATTGAAAAATATTTAAGAAATGATGAGATTAAACCTTCCCTCTTTTCTCCTTATAGAGACTTAATAATCTTTCCCAAGGGGGATTTTAAATATAAATATTTTTTAAATTTAAAGGAAGTTCACTTTACAATTTAAAGGTAATTTCCCTTTAGAATGTTAAGCAGCTTTCCTTGTTTATGTTCTTATAAACAAAGATCACTTTTAAACCTAAAATGCAAAAAAGATACAAAGTACAATAAAATAATACATATTCATCTCTTGATCTCTTTAGTAAACCATATGTAGTGTAATCATTATTGAAATACAAAATAGAGACCAAAAAAGTGAACATAAAAGTAAACTGTAGTCTTATCATCAAAGGAATAATTTAACACTTTGATGTATATCCTTTATAAACTATTGGATTTCAACTGCAAATGTATTTATTGAGTGTTAAACACTGTTAAGTGTTAAGAACTGTTTTGGGTACTGTGAGTAAGAGAGACGACTGAAGCATGGCCTTTGTCCCACAAGCTCTTACAAATAAGGTATTCATCTTATTGATCAGGGCCTGGTTTGTTGATAGAAATGTTAGTTGATATAGTTGACAATTTTCCGTGTTTTGAATATTTATGGGTTTTAAGCTCCATTGAAAATAGTTTTCTCCCAAGTATGTCAAAGTCTACTATCACCTTTTTAAATTTAATTTTATTTATTTTCTTTTTTTTATTATTATACTTTAAATTCTGGGCATGTGCAGAACATGCAGGTTTGTTACATTGGTATTCACATACCATGGTGGTTTGCTGCATCCATCACCCCGTCATCTACATTAGGTATTTCTCCTAATGCTATTCCTTCTCTAGTCCCCTACCCCCTCACAGGCCCCAGTATGTGATGTTCCCCTCCCTATATCCTCATGTGTTCTCATTGTTGAACTCCCACTTATGAGTGAGAACATGCAGTGTTTGGTTTTCTGTTCTTGTGTTAGTTTGCTGAGAATGATGGTTTCCAGCTTCATCCATGACCCTGCAAAGGACATGAATTCATCCTTTTTTATGGCTCCATAGTATTCCATGGTGTATATATGCCACATTTTCTTTATTCAGTCTATCATTGATGGGCATTTGGGTTGGTTCCAAGTCTTTGCTATTGTGAACAGTGTCACAATAAACATACAAGTGCATGTGTCTTTATAATTGAATGATTTATAATCCTTTGGGCATATACCCAGTAATGGGATTGCTGGGTCAAATGGAATTTCTATTTCTATATCCTCGAGGAATCGCCACACTGTCTTCCACAATGGTTGAACTAATTTACATTCTCACCAACAGTGTAAAAGTGTTCCTATTTCTCCGCATCCTCTCCAGCATCTGTTGTCTCCTGACTTTTTAATGATCGCCATTCTAACTGACATGAGCTGATATCTCATTGCAGTGGTTTTCATTTGCAGTTCTCTAATGAGCAGTGATGATGAGCTTTTATATATATATATGTTTGTTGGCTACATAAATGTCTTCTTTGAGAAGTGTCTGTTCATATATTTTGCCCACTTTTTGATGGAGTCATTTGTTTTTTTCTCATAAATTTGTTTAAGTTCTTTGTAGATTCTGGATATTAGCTCCTTGTCAGATGGAGAGATTGCAAAAATTTTCTCCCATTCTGTAGTTGCCTGTTCACTCTGATGATAGTTTCATTTGGTGTGCAGAAGCTCTTAAGTTTAACTAGATCCCATTTGTCTATTTTGGCTTCTGTTGCCATCGTTTTTGGTGTGTTAGTCATGAAGGCTTTGCCTATGCCTATGTCCTGAAAGATATGGCCTAGGCTTTCTTCTAGGGTTTTTATATTTTTGGGTCTTATGTTTAAGTCTTTAATCCATCTTGAGTTAATTTTTGTATAAGGTATAGGGAAAGGAATCCAGTTTCAGCTGTCTGCATATGGCTAGCCAGTTTTCCCAACACCATTTATTAAATAGGGAATCCTTTCCCCATTGCTTGTTTTTGTCAGATTTGTCAAAGATCGATGGTACAACCTCTTTTTAATTTACTGCCTTTTGTGTCTTGTTCATTGAGCCCAGATTGCAATTAATGAATTTGACGGTATCTCAACATATTTAGTTACACTGATTCCTCTTATGAAACAGTCATTTATCAGTGTACATTATGTTAGTTCCTTGAAATGGAGATAGGTGCTATATAGGGAAATAGACTTTACATCAGAAATGTTAGGGAAATTCTGTGTTAAACAATCATATAGAATACAAAATCAATTGTTTGAGGGGTGATCAACCTAAATGTGGAAGCTAAATCTATCAGGCCTCTAGAAGAAAATGTAGGAAAATATTTTCATGACCATGAGGCAGGCAAAGATTTCTTAGAACATCAAAAAAAAAAAAAAAAAAAAAAAGACAAATTTGACTTCAACAAAATTAAAAACATTAATCAAAAGACATAGTTTTCCTTTTTTTTTTTTTGAGACGGAGTTTCGTTCTTGTTACCCAGGCTGGAGTGCAATGGTGCGATCTCGGCTCGCCACAACCTCCGCCTCCCAGGTTCAAGCAACTCTCCTGCCTCAGCCTCCCGAGTGGCTGGGACTACAGGCATGCGCCACCATGCCCAGCTAATTTTTTGTATTTTTAGTAGAGATGGGGTTTCACCATGTTGACCAGGATGGTCTCGATCTCTTGACCTCGTGATCCACCCGCCTTGGCCTCCCAAAGTGCTGGTATTATAGGCGTGAGACATCACGCCTGGCAGTTTTCCTTTTTTTTTTTTTTTTAAGAAATAGTTAAAAAATGAAGGGCAATTAATACACTGTGAGAAAATATTCACAATACATATATACGGCAAAGCACTCACATCTAAGTACTTATATCAGAATATATAAAGAACTACAAATCAATAATAAAAAGATAATTTAAAAAGAGAAGACTAAAAAAGATTAGGCAAAAGACCTGAAGAGATAGTTCACATATAAAAATATATAAACAATAAGTGCATGAAAAGGTACTTAACAGTAGTCAAGAAAATGCAATTAAAACCATAATATGGTACCACTTCACATCAACTGCAATGAGACTAAATAAGATTTAAATACCAAGCACCAGAAAACATATGAACTGGCTGTACATTGATAGCAGGAATACAAAGCGGTATGAACACTTTGGAAAAGAGTTTACCACTAAACAGATAGCTACTGGTAGCAATAATTCCATTCCTAGCTGAACTTCTCAGCATCTGTATATTTATATAAATATTATCTGACACACACACACACACACACAGAGAAAACCTTGCTGCATCCAAGGGGAATAAAAGAATATGTCTGCAAAAATATATTGGAATAAAGAATGTTCATAGCAGCTTTATTTATAATGAGAATGCACTAGTTCACACAATGTACATGAACCTCACAAACATGAACTAGTGTAATTCACGAAACAACAGATACATTGTATCAAGGGAAAGAAGCAGGCACAAACTAGTACTTACTATAAGAATAGGTGAAACTAAGCTATGGTGATAGAAATCATTTAGAATAATGATTGCCTCTGGAGAAAGTCTTGGGATAACTAGAAAGGAATACCAGGAGCTTTGTGGAGTGATAGAAATGTTCTCTCTCTTAATTTAGGCAATGGAAACACAAGTGTATACTTTATTTAACTTTTAATTTTGATGTACATAATTTTCAATTTACAGAAAATTCGCAAAGGCAGGACAAGGGACTTCTGTATTCCCTTTATCTAGGTTCATCAACTGTTGGGCATATATATTTGTTGAAATTAATTGAACCATATGCTTCAAATTTGGATGTAAATGCTATGTCAATAAAGTGGGGGAAAGGCTATTTTACTGGGTAACTTCTCAGAATTAGTTAAGTCTGCAAAAAAATGTATACTTTATATATGACTTCCCTAATTTTTGGGGGGTGAGAAACGTAGTTTTCAACAAAACCCTGCTGGGCCGGAGTCCTGATGAATGCTCACTGGGACCCAATGCTCTATTATAGCACTTCTCAGTCCTGACTGCTCATTGGAATCACCTGAAGAGCTTTTTTAACCCTTCTAAAGTCAAAGCTGCACCTCAATCTAAATAAATGACACTCACCGGTGGAGCCGAGGAAGCAACCTGTTTATATCTCAGGTGAGAGCTGGGTGTGATACTTATAATCCCAGTTACTCGGGAGGCTGAGGCTTGAGCCCAAGAATTCGAATCCAACCTGGGCAACATAGTGACACTCCCATTTAAAAAAAAAAAAACAAAAACAAACAACAAAAAAAAAACAAATAGATCCTAGGTGATTCCAATGTGAGCCATGGCTGAGAACCATTGTTTTATGAAAACATCATCTCGCTTTTAAGCATTGACACCTGCCCCATTAGCCAATGGCTCAAATTTAATAAATGTTGCCAAGTCCAGTGACCTGGTGTCCTCCCTTGAAGGATATCTGCACTGGGAGCAGAGGTGTATCTTACTGGCTAGTGCCCACCTGGCTGGCTCTCTGACTCTAGGATTCTGGCTTCTGCCCTTCAGACCTCTGTTGCCTGCCTGCAGTTCACTTCAGTGGATGCCCTCTCTGGACCAGGTGCCCAGGTAGACCTATAGTATTTGCCTATTTTTTTCCAACCCAGCTCTATACTATTAAGTGATCTGATTGGTTGCCTAGCCCCCTGTCATGTGACCAGCACCCAATGAAAACAAGGCTTTGGTCTTTTGGGCTGTTCAGTTTGTATACTGAACTTTCTCAAGCCATCCTACTTCCCACTGTGTTTCCAGACCTGTTTCTTTTGGTCTCTTGCCTCATTCTCGACCACAGTCTCAAACTGACCCCTTGTATCTGACAGCTCATATTGCTTCTTTGGCCCAGCTGTTGGCTCCAAATGAGACTGCACTTCATGCATCTATCACAGGAGTTTCCTCTTCCCTCTCTGGTACCAGCACTTTCTATCCCAACCAGGAACCCCCTCTGGTGCCAGCTGGGTAAGCCTCTGCTTAAGAAAGAGAATAGAGCAATTTCTCTGTGCCTCAGCTAACCTCCCTGGTCTCACCTAAATGTGCAGTTTGGCCGTGATAACTCTCCCTTGGCTGGTCTTAACCTCTGACCTGGCCTGGCCAGTCTCATATTTCCGTTCGTTGGATACCACAAGGAATCGTGCATCCGGCTGAAGCCACTGTATCAGGTTTCTGTGTGCTTCCGAGGGGCTGGTGTCTGCCCTACATTCCATTCTACTGACCATGTGGTGCATTCTCAGTGCAGGCGGTTAGATGAAGTGCGTATCAGAAAATACAGCTGCTTACCCCTCAGAACTCCAAGTGCCCTCTCTGTCATCCATCTCCCCTGGCTCAGGCTTGCCCCTTCCTGGCCTGGACCACAGCTTTGATCCAGGGTTTATCTTCATTTCTATTCATGGTTTATATCTGTCCCTAGCCTTAAACCCATGTCATAGATCCCTCCAACGGGATAGAAAGCCACATTCCTGGCATCAAGTTCATGACATCTGTTGTTTTGCCCGCCTGGCCTTTCCACTCCCTTATCCTAATAACGACACCCAACTTTTGCTTGGGAAAACCAATACTCACCTCCAGTCAGAAAATAATGCAGATCCAGCATACATGTCAAGTGTCCCTCCCTTGACTAAGGCATAGGCAGAAGTCCCAAACTAAATCATTCCAATATTTGTTCTCCAATCTGAGTGGAGTAGAGCAGGAAAAGTTTTGAAATGGCTGAAAATCATCACACTTACTTATCTTGAAGAGAAATGCTTATTTGTTTCTACTATTTAGATTCTCTGAACCCATTAGTTCCTGTTGTTTTCTAAGATGTATCCTTTCATCGTACATTTTCTTCAATCCCGAGGCTTGTTTATTTACTTAA